CCCAAGTTTTAGCTGAGGTCACACAACGGCTGGCCTCAGCTAAACCTGCATTCTTAACCTCAGCTGGAGCAGACCTCTGCATTCTTCACCCCTACTGTCTGGGCTTCCCAAGAATCAGAGAGTAACCAGCTCCTCCGGTCTTGACAGGGATCCTGGGAAAAGAAGGGGACAACTGGGATTGGGGCCTGGCTTCTTGCAGCCATGAACTCACGTGCCACGGCCGTGCAGCTCTTACAAGACCCGCTGCCCAGAGAGGCGGGGCCTGTGCCTGTCTGTCCAGAGCCCCAGGCTGGCCTGACCCCCCGAGTGAGGACAGGACCCTGGAGAACCACAATCAGGGGCGCTGGCCCCCACAGAGAGCTGCAGTGCTGAGGTGCTCTTCCTCCTGGCCCAGTCCCCGTGTCACTGCCACCGACCACACAATTCACGGCTTTCCTCTGTCTCTCTGAGGAGCCCAGCACGATCACCCTCACCGAGCCCAGCCAGCACCCTGTGTGGCAGGAGGACAGGACTGCTCCCTCCACTCCACAAAGCAAATGTCAAGGAGCCAGCATTGTCCCCTGTCTGCCTGGCGGTATGAAGCCAACCTAAAGTTTTAAATCTTTTTACTTGCAAGCATAACACAAAGAGAGAAAAAAGGTCTTTCATTTCCTGGTACTAATAAAATCACACAGGGGATTACTGGATCCTTGGTACCAAGACACCATAAAAGACTGCTCTGGCCTTGGGGTTTTGTTCTTATTCTTGTTTTGTTTTCCCAACTGTTGCTTCCACGACCTAGAATTCTGGGTCCAACCTGCACTGATCAGGCACCCGACCCGGAACAAGGAATCTCTGGCTTGCAGTTTTCTCACCTGTAAAACAGGAAAAAGATCATTCCTACCTTGTCTGTTAGAAAATCAAAAGGGCCTAATTTTCCCGGCTTCTCGGGCGATCGTGATTTAAGCTTCACAGTCCCATTTGACACAGGAGGAAACTGAGGCAGAGAGAGTGGCAGAGTTGGCCTCTGGTCACAGACATGGAGGCAGGGGCGGGGCCGGGCAGAGGCTCTCCCGGTCCCCGGGTGTGATACTCTTGCGTGGCTGCACACCACTGGGATACTTGAAACCCTTGGTCCTTTCCCCTGTCTAAAATATCCTCTGCGATCTTGTTTTTGCCCTTTGTTTATTTACATTCGTTTCGGTTTTTAACATAGATAAAGACAAGGTTAAACTCCAACCCAGCTCCTTTCCGAAGAGGCAAGGTCCCAAGCCAGCCCACAGGAATGAGGTTCCCCTGTTTGTTTTGCCCTGTTCCACTTGCTTTTCTGTGTCCCCAAATAGTACGAGAATGTCCACACAGAGCGACTGGTGACCAGACAGAACGTTGCTCACTTCCCAGGGGTAGGGTGGCCCCGGGCAAAAGAGAGAGGGAGAGCCACCTTCCTACGACAGGAGCCTGCAGACTTCGTCAGTTCCACCTCAGGGGTGGAACAGGTGAGGTGTAGGAAAGTCCGGTTCTGCTCCAGTGTCGGGGGGCTTCGGCCTTGTCTCTGTCAGGAGAACTGGCACTGCACGTAGGTGTCCCAGTGTCCCCAACCTTTTGGTCTTTTTCTGGTGAGATATGGATGTTTTTCCTGTTGAGATATGGTTCTTGGAACCGTATATTTCAATGGAAAAATCAGAGAAATAACAGTAACAATCCAAACACTACCATTTTGCTTGCTCTTCTATTAGAATATCAAGACTCGCCACTGTCAGGTGAAAGAAAGAAAAGTCTGCTCCTGATTATGAAACTCCCTCTCACCCGAGTGCATCTCACCTTGTCCCGTGGCATTTGCCCGCCTCCTTCCCACAGTGTTTGTGTCTGTGTTCCGGTTCACTTCCTTATCACCATGACTCTGAAGGTCACCCAGGTCGCTAAATGCCAATCTCTGGAAATCTCTATGTTCTCGAGCAGCTCTTCAAATTAAAAGAGCAAGAACGGGGCAACTCTTAAGAATCTAATTATAAAGCCATTATTATTTAAGTCTGAGGATTACAAACCAGAGGGCAGCATTACCCAGACAGAACCGTCTTTGAAGAGCACAGGGAGAAGCCACCGGGCCCTGCAGGGATGAGGTGGGGGCTGCTGCCAGCTCCCGCCTCGGAGGAGCTCCAGGCGCCCGCTCTGAATCTACGGACACTGCACAATCCTCCAAGACCCCTGCACTTCCTTGGAAGCGGAAATGACCAAAGATGCCACCAGTAGATCTACTGATTATTCGGATGCAGTGAAGAAGGCAACTGCATTGCCATGCCACCTTGAAGGCCACCTGTCCCTCCACGGCAGGGACATCACCTCTTGGACAAGAGCATCTTTATTAGTTAAAAATTTTGAGTGCACCCCCCCCCCAGTGTATGGGCAGCTATTTGCTTACAAGTAATAGAGCACTGACATATTATAAGCATGCACACACAGACGTAAACTTGTAACGTGATATAAAGACAGACCTGAAAAGTCTCTATGCTCCTCACGCACCCAAGTCGGTCCCTCCGTGGCAAAGGGTCTCAAGCTTCACAGGACAAGAGGGACCCAGGAGCTGGTTTAAAATGAGCGTTCTCCACGCTCCAGTCCCAGAGGACTGAGTTCTTCATAAGTTGGTATCTCAAAGTATGGTCTCAGGCACGTGCCATCCCAACTTAATGGGCAAGGAATGGCACCCATTAAGGTGTGGGTGCCCTCAAAGCTAACAGATGGCCAACCCAGGATTGTGGGCCCTGGAAACCGCCTACGCCTGCCCTGAGAGGCCCTGATCCTCTCCCTCCCAGCAGCCTCCAGAGCCAGCTACGGGGAATTGTGCCTTAAAACCAGAGGGGGCAGGACCGGTGATGGACCCGAAGGAGCTTGGGGGGCAGGAGGGGGCGGGGGATGGCAGGAGATCTAAGCAGGCACAGAACCCCTTCCACCAGCCACTCTCAGGAGCGGGCATGAACAGTCAGAGAGGAATTGGGGGTGGGGATTCCCAGAACTAGAAGAGTGCTGAGAGCAGAAAGTGGTGCAAGTGGATTCTGCAGAGCTTCTGGGTGGGGTGGGGGCAGGGCCGTGGGGCCGTGGTTTTTGAAGGTTCCTGGATCCGTGGGCATCTTTAGGAAGCTAATCTGCAAACCAAGGTGGGGTAGCGGGGTTCGGGGCAGTTACTGGCAGTGCCCAGCGGAGAAGCAATGAGAGTAGGCACGAGGACGAGGCGACAGCTGGTTTTTGGACTCAGCTTCCAGGGAAAGAGAAGGAACAAGGGACTTTCGGGTGCTGCCCTTAACTGTGCCGGGCAGGAGAAGCCGGCCAGGCCTCCAGGGCAGAGAGCTCGATCAAAGTCACGTGCTTGTCACGTGGTCCCCAGGAATCAGCGCTGGGGGAAGAGGTGGAGGCTTGGGGCAGCACACAGCAAGGCTTGGGCTCACGGCCACTTGGGCTCTTCAGGGCATCTTATCCAGGCAAGAGTCCCCGGGACATCTCACTGCCCGCCTGGCATTTCCACCTGGAGGGCTAAGGGCCGCCTGGGACTGCGCAGGCCAAAGCTGCTCCCTCACGGCCTCCCCTGCCTCCGCTAAGGGAAGCCCCACCCCGTACCCTAGCAGCCAGAAAATCCAACTGGCTCCACCTTCAAAATATTTCCAGCACCATCCGACTGCACACGACCATGAGGGACCAAGCTGCCCTCACTGGATCCCCCACCGCCCTCACTGGATCCTCCATTGCTCTCACTGGATCCTGCATCACCCTTGCTCACCCGCAGATCAGTGACCTCTTAAAACGTGATGCGAAGCACAGCCCTCTTCTGCCCAGAATGGCTCTCCACAGCTCACAGTGCAGAAGCCAAAGGCCAGTGACAGTCCCCCACCCCCGTCCTCTGGCTTCCCTGCTATTCTGGGAACACACAAGGCCTGCACCAGCTCCAGGGCCTTGGCCCAGACTGCCTGAAGTTCCCAGGGAATTCCCAGGGGCAGCTCCCTCACCTCCCTCAACCTTTGTCCTAAGACCAACTTCCCCACAATGTTTCCTCTGACCGCTCCGCTTAAAATCCCTACCATTGTCCACTTCGTCTGCTAAGCCTTTCCGGTGCTCCTGGCCTCACTGCGCTCTGCCAATCCACGTAGACTCTGCTGTGTTATTTCTGCTGCCGTTATCTGCAGATAACTGGTGCAAAGCCCTACAAGGACTCTGATCTTTGTCTGCTTGTATATCCCGGGTGCCTAGAACAGGGTCTGGTACGGGCACGCAGCAGGAAGTGTGTGTGTGTGTGTGTGTGTGTGTGTGTGTGTGCTGAATAAAATTTAAGCTTCAGTCACTCTAAGATGCAAGGATGAGCGTAAGAGCTGCACAGGGTAGAAAACCCCCTGCCTGGTTTTGCTGAGCAGCCTCGTGGCTGAGCCGTCATAAACACAGAGAGGGAAGGGTGTGGTCGATGCGGGCCAGCCCTCCCCGGGGCTCAGCGTGGGCATCTGAGCTCCCCACCTAGCTCCTCCTTACCCTGAGAGTCAAGGACTTCTGCTCCTGTCGGCTCTAGGAATGTCGCCCACCGCACTGTGATGAACACCAGCGCCAGCCACTTCACTCGGCTAAACAGAAGTGGACCCGCAGGGCCCGGCGCGGCAGAGCCGCACGGCACTCCCTGGGCTTGGACGTCAGCTGGGCCCTCAGGCCTTCGCTCTGCTGCCAAGGGAGACTTGGGCAAGGCCGCAGCCACCCACCCTGACCTTTGACAGAATTTCCAAACATGACATGTTAACCTTAAATGGATTAATTTGGAACGATGGCCAGGGCCTGAGAGGGTGAGAATAAACCACAAGACACTTGATTTTCAAAAGGTATCAGGATAAAAGCACTTCCACAGCTAGATCTTGTCGGTAGGAGAGACGGTCAGACGTGGGGCTGGGGGCAGCGAGGGAAGGGGTCCAGGTGCTAGACAACATGTGAGGAGGTTAATGATTGATGGGCAGCCTTCCCTAACAGAGCACCGACAGGCATTCTGGTCTCTCTAGCTCCAGAAACTGGAAAGAAGACCTCGGACCCGGGAGAGGCAGGAGAAATGGGAGGCACCCGGCGCGTTGCCGTTTTCTTGGTTGTGTGCATCTTTACCCAGTCACGCGGCCGTGGACAAAGCCTGGAGCCAGGTAAGGGCCTCTCTCTGCTCCAGAGACAGGCATGGATTTTGCTTTCTTAAATTCGTACCACAAACACTCGCTGTGTGGGACGGAGCTGGCTTCTGAGCGCACCAGGTGGTTCTGTGAGCGGAGCTGCAGATTCCCAGGGAGAGGTAGCACTTTGCAAACAGGACTGAAATCTTAGGAAAGCACCGGGAGAAGGGTAAGAGCTCGTGCCGCTCGCAGTGAAGTTGTGATTTGGAAACAGTGGCGCTCAGACATCTTCAGCAGAGAGTGGGAGACCTGGGAAATTCCTGAGAGTTAACTTGGCATCTAATTTGCAACCTGGGAGCACAGCATGGGCCGAAATGCTCTGTCTTGCTGGGGTTGTCCCCTTGCCCGGCTCTCTCTGAAGAGAGGAATTTATGAGTGCTGCTTGTAGCTGGATCTAAAGTAGAGACCTCTTGCGTATTTTCTGGTCTTCATTTTTCGGTGAAAGTTTTACTGTGAGAACTGAGTAGCAGCCTCTCCTGTTTTGTCTGTCACTTCATAAACTAGACTGTTAGCCAAGGACAGTTCCAAACGCTTGATCAGGTAGGCAGAGACCAAGTTCCCCGCTGAGCGGACCATTCGATCAATAAATGATGGCCCTGACATTAGCCAAGCCATCTGACCAACCTGAGTGAGAGTCTGGGCTTTATATTCGATCAGAGGTGAGTGACGCTACGGGACTGGGACTGGTTTCTTAGGGACGATGCTTAAGCCGAGTTCCGAAACTTTGAGAGTTAGGACATAACGGGGTACGTGCCTGAGAATTCCAGAAACTTTCCCCCTTTCACAAAAAGGTCCGTCCCTTTGTATTTGGTTATCACGTGACGTCCGACGTCACAGTCTCCTGGCCCAGAATGTTGTGTTAGTTTGCTGGCTCATGCCTGAAGCATAGCAAAGTTAGCAGGCATGTTGATGTCCCGGGTGGGACCTTACAGCCTGGGCCAGCACTCGAGCCCCCTGCGCCCTCGAGCTTTGACGTGTCCGTTGCGCGGTTTCATGAGTGGAGACGCAGAGCGGCTGCGCGCGGGCGCGGGTTCTCTCCTCGGCGTGGCGTCTGGGAGCCGGGTCTTCCCCCTTCCTGAAGTTGCGGCTCGTTCCTTCTCGTCGCCCCAGCAGGTCATGTCTGAACATAACTCGCTCCCCTCATCGTCTGCCCCACGCTTAGCCAGCAAGACTCAGCAGTGGAAGTGCCAGGGCTGGGCAGAGGGTGAGGGAAACATGGCCTCCCCTGGGTGTCAGGGGTCACCCAGGCTTTCCTTGAAACTCCCCTCCTGCTGCTGCCTTTCTGGTCCTGGTTTATCCCAGTGCTGACGGAGGAGGCGGAGATGAGTCAGGAGGTCCTCGGGAGAGAGGCATGGGGGTGCAGAGGCAGCTGGCTCCCCTGAGAGCAGAGCCCCGGTTGTGTGCGGGTTGATGTCCTCCTGGGGCCAGTGTCTCCAGGGGGAGCCCCTGTCTGACGCTTTCTGTGCCAGCGGCTGTCACAGGGGCAGTCTGCAGTGTCTGGAGATGTTTAGGGCATCCCGGCCGGGACAGAGTGTCCTCCTTCCAGCATCTGGTGGGCAGAGGCCAGGGACACAGCCCGACACGCTGTCCTGCAACGGCCTTTACACTGCAAACCGCGCCCCACGACACTGAGACTGAGGAGCCTGTGTCCCTGGTCACAGGCCAGGGAAAACCCTCAGGGACCCTTCTTCCTCCGCCCGCCCCACGCCGCCAGCCCCCGAGCCCCTTGTTACTGCCCTCTTCCTGCCCGCTTCCCCAGCGCACTTGACCCGGATGTGCCAGGCCAAGCGCATTCTGTGTCACGCTCACCCCCCCTGTGAGTCACCCCGCGGTTCCGCGTCCTGTCCGGGGCCCTGGGCTGCTGGGGCACCGCCTGGCTGTGAGGCTGCAGCCCTGTCCGTGTGCAGCCGGGGAACCTCCGCTCACCAGGAGGCAGGGCGGACGGTTGCTTCTGGCCTTCAGCACCCAGGGGCACCGGATGCAGGGAGCTTCGTGGCGTTCAGAACCACTGTCACCCTCAGGCCCCCGAGCAGCCAGCGCTGCTCCAAGCCCTGCTGGTGCTGCAGGACCCTGGCGGCCCCCGAGCCACCTCAGGGTCTGCCCTGCCCGCCCGCCCTGGCCCCAGCACCACAGCCTGGAGACGGTGAGGCCCACTGCCCAGGGAGGCGCCGTGGCCCCTGTCAAGGGCTCGAGCACAGGCGAGGCACGGCCCGGCACACCTCTCCTGCAGAGCCCTGAGGCCCCAACACTGAGAAAGGGAAATCCTTCATCAATGCTGTTGAAAGCAAGGGTAATAAAGCCACCCTTGTTAACCCCTGACACGGCTTTATGAAAAATAAGCTGCATTTTCCGAATACTAACCCCAAAAAGGTCAGATACCGCTTTACAAAGAAATACTGCAAACCTCTGGTGAGTGCGGCTTAACGGAGACAGCTGGGTTCTCCTGCCTGCATCTGTATTGTCCTTCGCGATGTGGCGCTTGCTGTGGAGCCTACATAGAAAACCCGGGGCCACTCAGGAAGTGGGGACCCCCGTGACCCCAGGGTGTGGCCCGCTGGCTGAGAAACGCTGCTCTGAGCAGCTGGCCCTTGTCACCCACCGTACCCTCCAGGAACCACTGGCCACCTGGTAAGGCTCCAGCCTTGGAAGCTGGAAATAAGGGGACTTCTGTCCCCACAAAATTTACACAACATTAGAAGCAAAAGTTAGTCTACCTTTCATTGATGTTGGTGATAAAAGCTCCTCAAGTAAAACAGATTTTTGGGCCTAAGTTCTAAAAACCTTCTATGGTTACTGTGTATATGTGTCACATTATTGTATTTTTATTATTTATTCTTTAATGAATATTGTGTTCTACCTCGACATTAACTGAAAGAACTCCCGGCTCCACACTGGCCCAACATGCACAGACCAGCACCGTTCGCCCAGCAGGAGTAAGACCTTCCCGGTTCAGCCTCCTTCCAGTTCACTTGGGTGTGCCACTTAGTACTGTCCCTGAGTTTAAACAGGAGATAAAGACTCAAAGTAGAAAGTGACAGCACAGTGCTTGTAAAGGCAAAAGCACAGTGTGTGGTGGTGCACGCCTGTGATCCCAGCACTTGGGAGGCTGAGGCAGGAGGATCGTTGTGAGCTCAAGGCCAGCCTGACCTGCACAGTGAAACCCTGTCTCAAAAAGACCAAAAAAAAACAGAAGTTAAGTGACTTCCATGTCCTGAGAGTTTTTGTATGTCTAAAATGTAAAGCAATCTAAAAAAAAAAAGAGTGCACACTGTGAGGCATAAGGCTTGGTTTGCAAAGTAAAAACCTGAGTTCCTGCAGCAAATATCGCCCTTGTGTTTGAATATCTTAAAGTTGAAATTTATTCTTTTAAAACTGCTCGATGTATCCAGGCAAGGTGGCACACATCTGTGATCCCAGCACTCAGAAGGCTGAAGCAGAAGGATCGCTGTGAGTTCAAGGCCAGCCTGGGCTATGAAATGAGTTCAAGGTCAGCCTGAACTGCACAGTGAATGAAACCTTGTCTCAAAAAGAAAAAAGGGCTGGGGGTGTGGCTCAGTGGTAGGGCACTTGTCTAGCATGCACAAGGCCCTGGGTTCAATCCCCAGTACCGCAAAAAACAAACAAAAAAGAAAAGAAATCCTTCCTGTGGGTCAATACAGTGCGTGAGGGAGACCCGCAGAGCCCCTGGGAGGAGGCCGTGTCCGTGCGGGACCTGGAAGGGTGGATCCAGACCGAGTAGGAGGCTTTCCTTATGCACAAACAGACACGGAGCTGACAAAGCGCATCGTTCAGGGGCTGGGGATTTAGCTCAGCGACACAGCGCCTGCCCGGCAAGCGCAAGGTCGTGAGTTCGATTCCAGGTACCGGAAAAAAAAAAAAAAAAGCGCATCGTCCAAAAGTACAGACCTGGAAAGAACTCGCGTGTGCGCTCACGCGCGCGTGCGCGCGCACACACACACACACACACACACACACATATTGAAAAGTGCTGCTAGCACCAACTCAACACCCCTTACCCAAGCCTGGTTTCAATACCCGCCGGAAACCTAAGACTTCCAGAAACTTTCGGGAAAAAACGACCGGGTTCGGACATGAAAGCCCCCTTGCCGGCGCTGGGCGCTCACCCTCCGCTCAGGGACGTCACCGCGTGCAGGCGGCGGGTCAGCACGGCCCAGGCCGCCTAAACAGCCCCGAGCTTTGCGTCAGGGCGACAGGGACCTGGCACCTTCACAAAAGTCAGGAACAACGTGTCTTCCGGCTTTTAAAACTAACGTGGGCTCACAGCCGTGCCCAGAGTGAGTACCTGCGCCTCGCTGGAGACGGAAGCAAACTTAAAAATGCGTGAAGGGTTTCAAGGCCACAGAGGGTAGGAGTATTTGAATGTTAAAATTCGCTTGCATTTATCGCTGGGGGTTGCTGGGGACCAGCCCTCGCGCCTGCTGTCCCTGGGAGGGCTCCAGGGACCCCGGGCCTCCCTCCCTCCGCAGGGAGCCCCTCTGCAGACCCCTGGCCCTGCCGCCCCGCTAGGCGCGCCCCTGGACAAGAAGACACCTGGCCTCCGCCTGCCTGTCGCAGGGACCCGGGGCTTGGCCGATTCTTGCACTCACCCCACGGGAGAAGCAGGCGGGACAGAGCCGGAGCAGAGTGAGGTGGGCCGGGCGCGGGGACGTGCAGTGCCCAGCGCGGCCATGAGGGGGCGCGTCCGGGAGCGCGGTGAGGGCCGAGGGCCGCCCGGGCCGCCGGGACCCTGCGAAGCCGGCTGGGGCTGAGCAAGCTCTCGGCAGGCACGCTGGTGCCAGGCACACTCGCAGCTTTGCCGCCGCTGGGGAGCAGGAGCAGCGGCGGGGACCGAGGCGTGCAAGGGGAGGCCGCTTCCCGCTGCCCACCAGCCGGGGACCGGGGCAGGGCAGGGAGAGGGGCAGGGCGGGGCAGGGCAGGGCAGGGAGAGGCAGGGGTATGGCAGGGCGGGGCAGGGAGAGGGGCAGGGCGGGGCAGGGCGTGGCGTCCGCGCGTGCCGGCGGCCTGGAAGCAGCTCTAGGGGAAGGCATCCCTGACCCCACCCAGCGGCGGTTGCGCTCCGACCCTGCGTGGGCAAACAGCAGTGGGCGCGACCGTGCGCGTGCGGCGTTCCCGCCGGCAGGGCAAAGGGAAAGGCACCGGAGGAGAAGTCCACGCATGCGTGCCCGCAGGAGCCCGCGTGGCATCTCTGTGTGCCCGCGTGCCCCAAGGCTGTCGGCACTGTGCGCCTGGGGAGGTGCACTTCAGAGATCCGAATGCTTTGAAAGCACCTTTGCCTCCAGATGGGGCCGGGGGCGGGGGCAGCCCGGCTCTGCAGGCTGCGGCTGGGCTGGGGCAGGAGCTCCCGGGCCCCCCCAGAGCTGCCCCCTGGAAGGCCTGGACACCCGCGCATCTGACAGGTTCCCAGGGTGCCGCGGGCCTGGGCGCCACAGAGAACCGCTAGGAAAACAAACACAGAACCGAAATGGGCCTGGGTGGCCTGGCTGCCCGCCCCAGTGCCCCGGGCACACCTGCCCTTCCTCCTTGCGCAGGGTGAGGGCCGGGGTTCCACACCTGGCGCCTCTGGACGCCCACCTCCCTGGGCTTGTATTTTTTTCTTAAACCCAAGACATTCATGCAAATGTATTCTTCCAAAACAAGACATCAGGCTGCTGAAAAGGATGCAGCTCTTCTGTAAATTTTTTATCCGTGTAATAAAGCAGTTTGTGACGAAAAGTTCCCAAGCCGAGAGTCCCCTGCAATGGCAGGAGGTAGTCACCCTGACGGCCGATTAACCATCCACTCTGAACTCTGCCCTGGCAGCCTGCAAATGTTATCAAGGACATTCTTTTCGCGTGAGCTGGGCATTACCACGGGGCAGGGCTGCGGCCTCTCAGCTGCCCAGCACTGGCCCTTCCTGACAGGGAAAAGCTTTCTGCTGACAAGTGTTCCAGCCGCCAGTCCCAAGAGAGAACGCATGACAAGAGGAGCAGCAGCAAGACGGCCCTCATTCACGAGCCACCTGCTCCGCTCCAGCCCAGGATCAGAAAATTCCGTTCACCACCGAGCTTCCAACTCTGGGGGGCGGGGTGCATAATTTCACCCCAGTACGTGTGCAAATGGCACTGGGTGCGAAGCCCAGAAGGCTTCACAGACAGACAAAATCTGAGTTGAGCCTGGGAGGAAAACTAAGCCCGGGCCTGGACGCGGAGTTTGAAAATGACAGGGAGTCGGAGGCCCGGGAAGGCGGCTGCAGGCTGGCCCACGGCCGAGCTCCCCGCCTCGCCCGCCCCTGTGTGGGGAGCAAGGGCGGCACAGAGAAGGCTGGGGCGAGCTCACCAGCTGTGCAACCCCGCCTGGCGCTGCACCCACGAAACCTCCCGCGCTGCCTCCGGGTCAGGCCGGGCGCTGGGCAGGTCTCCGACGTGCTCTTGTTAATCGCGGCTCCAAGCGCCAAGTCACGGCGGGTTCACAGGGTGAAACCGAAGCAGGAACACGCTGGGAGCTTGAGCAGCTACCTTCCACCCCCAAACCCTCTCTCCCGAGGCTGAGGAGAGACGCATTTGGAGACTGCTTCACGCTAGCCTGGCGACCAACAGCCATTTCATCTTTGAAAAATCTCTCCTACCGGCGCTCTGTCCCCAGATTTTTACAATAACCCTGTAATCGATGCTGGGCAGGTGTTAAATCCCCGTCTCACGGGCATCTCCTGCAAGCTGGGTTTCTGTAGCTCAGGGCAGACAGGGAGAGGCCCCCCAGAGCGCCCCGAGGGGGCGGAGCTGAGAGGGGCTGCCCGGGAGCCAGGCTCGGCTGGGTGAGGCGGAGGAAGGTCAGGGCTCCGGTTTGGATTCTGCTAGCAGGGCAAGCACTTGAGTGGTCCGTGACACAATAATCTAGCAGCTGCTTGTTGTTAACGAATTCGTACTTACTCAGGCAGGATGGCGCCGGTGGGAGAGTAGAACAGGGCTGAGCTGGTGCTGATCGGAGGGGGACACGTCACGCGTGTTTGTCCCAGAGTGGCCTCCTCTCTGCCTCGGGGTCCCGGGGCACGTGGCTGGGTTCTGCGGGCACTGGCTAGGTTCTGCGGGCACTGGCTGGGTTCTGCGGGCACTGGCTGGGTTCTGCGGGCACTGGCTGGGTTCTGCGGGCACTGGCTGGGTTCTGCGGCGGCCTTGGCACCAGGCTGCCCAGGCTTTGCTGTGCTGTCTCCGGTTCTCTTGCAGAGGAATTCAAGCAATGTCTGTGAAGTCTCTTGACACCTGTGCACAGGTGGGCAGCCCAGCCTGGGCGACTCCGTTTGCGTCTGATCCCAGCTGGGTGTCAGACAGGGACGTCCGGGTGGCTGCCATAGCACCACCACCGGGATGGCTGCAGGGGTCAACCCCCCGCTGGAACTGGCACCTAAGCTAGCGGGATCCGGGAGTGGGAAGCGAGGCTCCAGCCCACTTTAGCCTGACCGCGCTTAGCGCGTGCAGCTGCCGTCAGGAGTGCAGGGCCGCGCACACAGGAAGTGCGGTTCTGTGAGAACACGGCAGCACACGTCACTTCGGGATCAGACACTGACAGTACAAATACACACGGGATGCTTTCTGGAGGCAAACTCCTACACTGCTTTCGCGGAGTGGAACCAAGATACATGGGATAGCAGCTACGATTTTTAAGAACCTTTACATGTGCCAAGGGCCGTACCTATTTATTTCGCTTAATCCATGCATCCCCTCTGTGGGATAGGTTTTACTGTCCCGGGCCTGCAGCTGGGGACTTTGGGGCTCAGGGTAACGAAATGACAGGATTCTCAGGCAGGCCCGTCTGACCGCAAACCCGCCAGCCTGAGAGCTCGGCAAGCCAGCTCTGGGTAACATGGACTGGCTTGGGGTTAGTCGGCACAGCCCGGATTTCCAGTGCTCACCTCCAGGGCAGCTGCTGTGACCCTCAGGGCCACCGGATCACCTGGGCCTTTGGAGGTGTCCCTCTGAGGAGGTCACTGCCCATGGGGCCAGGGACACGTTCGCCTGCTTCTGCCACCTTCACCGCTCTGAGTGGCGGGAGTGAGCAGCTGCGGCCGCCCAGAAGGACAAGATCCTGGTCCCTCATTCCGAAACTGTCGCAGTGCCCGGTGCCCAAGGTCAGGTCAGACACATGGGTGTGGGCACCGACATAGCAACCCAGAGAGCGGAACAGCCATCCTGGGCCAATTTTAAAGTGGCCAAGGACCCTGGAAGGGGCTCCCAAGAACCCTCGAGGTTCGGAAGGGTTTTGAGGAGCTGATTGGACCCTGGCTGCTCCTCTGTGGGAGGGATGGACAGCCAGGAGAGCTGTCCACAGCCACCCGGAAGGCCTTGTGGAGGACACAAGACCCTAAAGAATGGCAAGCCTAAGAAATGAAAGGAGGGGCTTGCTGTCAGGCAGGTAGTAGCATGGGCAGAGGAGTGGAGGTTGGGACCTCTGACTTGGACAGAGGGGCCGGAGAAGAGGGCTAGCGCGGAGGTCATGGGAGAGAAAATACAGACAATTACACGGAAAAGTGCTAGGAGGCGGGGCCAAAAAAAAAAGCAGTTTATAAGATATGCACCTGTGTTAGGGGAGAAAATGCATTGGAGGAAAATGCCCTGAAATGTAAACAGCACCGGTGATAAGATTATAGCTGATTTTGTTTTCTCACGCTTTCCTGTATGCTTCCTGTTGCTCTGCAGTGGTGCGTACTGCTGAGATATCGTGAAAACATACAAACATTTTCAGTACAAAGGGCACCAAGTGCTGAGCCAGACCTGAGTCCATAGCCACGACCCACACCCGCCCAGCCCAGTGCAGCCCAGGGGCCGCCGGAGGCGGACACTGGAGATGGGTGGGGTGGGGACGAGGGGGACCCCGGCTCCCAGGCGCCACCGGAACACTTGGGTGGCCCCTGCCCGGGGATCAGAGTAGCCCTGTGCACACAGAGACCCCCCACACCCCAGAGCTCAGACAGATGTCTGCTCTCTCTTTTCGCTCCTCAACTAGTTCGCAGAGGTTTCGCCGTCCACATTCACAAAGGCAAAATAAACTGGGGAAAGCAGCAGGTCCTCTGTCTCTTTTGGGTTTCCTTTGCTATTTTACCAACCAACAAAGTAGTCTCTCTTTTCTTAAGCATAGTACCAAGTACCATGCATAAATTGAGAAACTGCAAGGAATCCTAGAGAATATCTCATCTACGCATCTAGTTCACAAGTAAGAAATTAGAAGTGAAAGAGGTCAAGGGGGGTGCGAAGCTGCGTGAAGGCTCCTCCCCAGCAGAGACAGCGCGCAGGCCTGGCTGCTCCTCCCTCCCCGTCCGGGTGTCATTGGATGAGCTCGGGGCCTGGTCACCAGGAGAGGCGTGCGCAGCGCTAGGGTTCAGAGATGGAGAGACTTCTAACGCTTGCTCAGTTTTACCCCTGGAAAGCGACTGTCTGTGGGGCACCGGTTTAGAACGTGCCACGTGGCTTCTCCAGGGAGAACTTCGCAGCGGGCCTTCTACGCTGTGTGCCCCACACACCCGGAATATTTCCCGCGTGCGCAAGGCCTCTCCGACCTGGCCACTGGTGAGCAAGACCTTAAATGTTCCCTTCTCCGTAGAAGCCTTCGTACAACTAAAGCCCTGTCACTCGGGAATCAGGCAGCTACCCTGCTATTCTTTCCCCTCCAAAATCAGCTGGCTAATTCCATTCGGTAATCTAAAGGGCAAGGAGGGGCTGCGGGTGGGGCTCAGTGAGGAGCAATCCCCATGCAATCCCTAGCACCCCAAAAGCTAAAAACACCAGTTTAGTCATTTCCACCCTATGAACTTGACCAGACTGGGTATAGAGCAAGGATTTCCGTCTTGCACATAAACACCTACCCACAGCTGTGCTTTGCACCATACCTCTCCATTTGGACCTGTGGTTCCGTTCTTCTGATCTTTGGGGGTTTTCTGCGCGTCCTTCTGTGGATGGGCCACGTCGTTAAGTTTTACATTAGGTGCCCCTAGAGCGCAGGGGAGAGACTGACTCACCGGTTTATACTTCTTTTTGGTCAGGAACATAGGTGACTGGGGGATTAAGAAACACATTTTCCTGAGTTGGATACTAACAAAAATTAAATGGCAGCAGTCCACGCTGTCCCCAGTAGCTGGAGAGCTTTAAAAATAAAATAAATAAGCACCTGTTCCAGTTTTCTTTTACTCCTACAGAGACAGGGAAATTGCTGAAGAAAAATTATGCCCGTATTTTCTGTGCTGTGCCTGTTGGAAGAAGAATAAAATCTTTAAGTGGGGTCATCAGGAAGTGCTTAAGAAACGAGAGGTCCACAAGCCGACCTCTGCGGTCTGGGGATCGGCTTCCAGGGACAGACGGGTGTGTGCTCTGTTAGAGCTGCAGCCAACCTCCCACCCTGCCCCCACCTCCTGCAGCTGAGCCATTCCCGGCAGCTCATTCACACCCTTGCTCCTTGGTGTCTATGTCGGTACCATGACTAGCAAGACGCTGTCCTGGCCCCTGCCGCTTCCCCCAAGCCCAGCATCTGGGTCAGTATCACCCAAAGAATAAGCTCCATTTGAGGCTGTCCTTCCCTCCAACTTCTCACAGTTTTAGGTGCTTTCAGGTCTTGGACCAACCCTCCACCAGCACTAATAGTAGTCTAGAGTTCTTCCCCCACATGAAAAGCTCAGAAATGAAAGAATTCCCCATTTCCCAGCCCTTTGGCACACAGTCTGATGACTTCCTGTCCCAGGGACTTCACACAGACAGACCTTTCCCCACCCTACACCACTCCCGGACCCAGTCCTTGGCGTGGTGTCCCAGGGGAATGAGGAGAAGGTGTCCACGTCCTCTTCCGAGGAGGACCCCACACCAACCCTCTCTCGTCTTTAAGAGATGGTCTAAGTTGTATATCAGTGTCTCGGTTACTTTTCTCTCGTTGCTGGGACAAAATACCCGACACCCAAAATTAAGGAAGGAGGGGTTTATTTATATCACAGTTTGTGGAGGTTTCAGTCCATAATCAGCTGGCTCCAAGGCAGGGTGACGGGGCACAGGGGCAACAGTTCAAGGTGGCACAAGACAGTAAAAGCAGCAAGAGCAAAAAAGGTGTAAAAGCAAGCTTCCCACCCTCCTTTATACTGTATGCCTGCTACCACCCCCCAAGGCACTCACACCATCTCGCTGCCCTCCTCTTGCACAGGCTCAGGATGTTTACAAAGTGAGGACCTTGGCCCCCTGCTGTATTAAACATCTAAACTTCCCAAGTTAACACAATGCAGCAACCATTACGATCAGGGAACCCCAAAGCCTGCTATCAAGTCTATGGCCACACCACCTTAACAAGCTGGGTCTCGCCAGATAACACCATCGAGGTCCTAATTTGGGTGGCTTTATTACATTTCTAATGAATATTAAGCAGAAACGATGATGGTGCTAATCAGCTTTCCACGGCTGTAACAAATACCTGAGAAAACTCAACTTTTTGGCTTCTGGTTTGGGAGGGTTCCGTGCGTGGTCAGCTGGGCTATTGCTTTGGAGCTCACGGCAGGCAGCAAGCCTCTAGGTGGGAGCGCTGGTGGGCGGGACATGAGAGAGAGGAAGAGACCAGAGTCCCGACGGTCTCCTTCAGGAGCACACCCTCCGTGGAAGCCCCTCTCTTCAAGGTTTATACCACCTTCCAGGAGCACCAAGCAAAGGTGCTCCAAAACACACAGTCATTTGGGGAACATTCCAGATCTGGACTACAGCAGCCATAGAGCGTAGACTATGGGGCAGGGGTAAGTTCCCCTGTGGCCATGGGTGCAGTGCTTTCTGAAAGGAAGAGATGGAGGACACGCTTTGATGCCATCTGGCTGGTGGGTTCCTCCCTCAACCCAGAAAAAATTATAAGGCAGACAGTCAAGAGAGAATTTAACAAAAGAATTTATTGGAGAGCAAAAGCAG